TGGGGCAGGGGATGAGCGAGTGGCTGTGTGGTGCTTAGTTGCTGGCTGGGGTTAAATCACGACAGCATATTAACACAACACAGACCTTTCAAATTAAAATGATGTAATTTTTTGCAGCATCTGTAATACCCACTGCTATAATTTCTGTGTGTAGCACTGCAATTCTGAAAGCGCAAGGCAAGGTCACAATTACAAGGATTATTTTGTGAGTGGGGATCAGGAAATCCCTTTATCATAGATTTGCTATAGACACTGTGAACAACTTCAGTCAAGAGTAACTCATGTCCTGTGACAACAAATACCTGGGGAAAACATATAAACACAGTGGGCAATTACAAAATAAAGAAATTTAATGCAAGCTATTATTTCTATCAGAAACAATAAAGTCTTCAGGTGTACAGCTCTGTGCTTGCTAAACTAGAAACAACTAAGCTTTTAGGGATATGGTATAACTGCTTTAGGAGAAAACATGCCTCCAAGAGAAAAGCTATCAAGGAAAGACAGCTTCCTGTATTCTTTCCAGAACTGAAAAGAATCCTTGATATGATGTACAAGCTTAGCACCTGTCAGAAACAACTCATCTGTTGAATTACTCCTGGCTGGGGGTAAACCTAACATCAATGAAAAGAATCTAACAAATTCTATCTGAATAAACCATATTTATTAAAAATATGGATTCCAGGCAGCTGCACACAGTTCCAGAATAGTGGCCACTGCTAATGCAGATGAAGTTTGAAAGAATGCAAGCAGCTGCTTCAGAATCCATTCATCACTATGCTAAATGTGCAGCCCTCTATTTTTCCATCTCCCATTTGCACTGAAGATAGAGTTGGAGGGTCTGAAGGATCTGAGAAGCAATCTTTTTCTATCATTGCTATGGGACTTAGGTCCTGCTGCTTTGTATCCTTTCAACACTTAAGTCAAAGGAGATCAGGGAATATTTTCCTACTTTTAAAAATTAAATCAAGTTTCTTTACTCTTTCTTTGTGGGTAAGATCGGTAGATTACAGATGCATCAAAGGTATTAGCACAGGACTGCTTTTTTAAAAGCTTTGAATTTTTATAAAAGGCAAAATTCATAACTCTCATTCATTTCTCAAAATCTCACACCTGAATGTCTTGATATAGATTTCTAAAACACATATAGTCATTCCAGTGATGGATGTGACTTTCAGGTATGTGGAGTTGCCCATGTGCATCAATGGAAACTGTTGAAATTCTTCTTTCTTGAAAAGTGGACCTAAGTGAACATGGATGTAGAATTCCCATAATACAAAAGAGAACTCGGTATTCAAAAATCATAGGCTATTTTGAAAATTTGAGCCTTTTAGATACAGAGAGGCAAGATGGTGAAATATGCAAAAAACATTTTTTAGGAGGTTTGTGACAAACACTGAGGTGTGTAGAGTAAAAAGAAACCTGAATTTCAATGTTCATTTCTTGATATTACGATGGAGACACAGGGCTGGAGGTTAAAATTCCAATCCTTGTAAAACTGTTGTTCAAACTGCAGTGTTTTCTCCTTTACAAATTCTTAGTTATCTATGACATTTTTATGGCATTGAAAAGGTTAACAGTATCTTCTGTCTGGAAATGCCTACCCTTTCATTAAGAAACTACACTCATTAAGAATGGAATTATAGTTTAATATGATTCAGTTTCAGCATTCTCTTCTTTTTAAACAAATGATTTTATCGTATCTAAATGTTGATTATACTTATTTCTTGGGCCAGAAGCTTTCTGTGTCAGAACTACTAGAATAGAATATACCTAGCACCATTTTCATTAGTCTGAATTTAACAATCTACACCTTTAGCATGCAAGAAATTATCACCTGGTATGCAGTCACCA